CAAAATTTAATAATTTGGACAGGGAATTAGAAAGCATGGGGGATAAGGTGTGGGAGATTTGTAAGAGATGGATTAAGGGGGGCAGAAAAGGGGTAGAGAGTAATATGAGAAGGGAGGACGGGACCTATACGGGGTCTCTGGAGGAGACGCAGGCGGAGCTGGTGAGGAAATATTTTCCAATAGATAGCGAGGAGGGGGAGAGCGAGGGGCACAGAGAAATGAGGAGGGAGTATTTTGAAGATCGGGAGAGGGAGGAGGATTTCGCTGTCACCAGGTTTGAATTGGAGGGAGCGATCGATGGATTGAGTGTTAAGAAAGCGCCGGGTTTGGATGGGATACCGAATGATTGTATGAAGTATGTAAGTAAAGCTTTGGGTGACTCGTGGACAGTGATTGTGGAGAAGTGTATGAGAGAAGGGGTCTTCCCCAGAGTGTGGAAGAGAGCGGAAGTTGTCTGGCTGCCGAAGAGTGGGGGAAGTGTGAGACCAATCTCGTTGCTGCCGGCGGTCGGGAAAGTTCTCGATCGTCTGGTGGCTGCGAGAATCTCGCACTTCATGGAAAGAACGGATAGTTTCGACAGCGGACAGCACGGCTTTAGGAGTGGAAGAGACACGATGCAGGCCATCGGGGAGTTGTTGCGAATCATCCGGGTGAATAGAGAGAGCGGTCTGCACTCGATGGTTGTCGCCCTCGATCTCAGAAACGCGTTCGGGTCGGCATGGGCGCCAGCTGTGATCGGGGTGATGAGGGCAAAGGGTTTGAATGAGGATTTGGTGAGAATGGTGAGAAGCTTTATGAGGGAGAGAAAGGTTTGTGTGGATGGGAGAGAGTGGGACACCGAGGTCGGCTGCCCTCAGGGGTCGAGCTTAGGCCCGGTGTTGTGGTTGTTGGTGATGGAAGGATGGTTTAGGAAGATGGGAGAAGCGAGGGAGAGAGGTGTGCATGTGCTGGCTTACGCGGACGATCAGATAGTCGTGATATCTGGTCGTTCGGTTAGGAGCCTGGAGAATGAGTGGAGGAGAGTATGGGAGGAGTGTAAGGAGTGGGCGGAAGAGAACAGGCTGGGATATAACGTGGCCAAAACAGAGGTCATGTTTATCCCGGCTCGTGGCGAAATCAGGGAACCGGTGGTTAGGATGGATGATGTGCGAGTGGGCGTGAGTGCAAGTATCAAATACTTGGGTGTGAGAGTGGACCGAAAGAGGATCTTGCTGGACCATGTTAAGCTGATTAGGGCGCGAGTTCAGGATTTCGGGGGCAAATTTTTTGCTCTCGGGAGGAGAAAGTGGGGCAACAGCAGGAGAGTGCTGAAAGCTATCTATGAGCGGATGATCTGCCCGATGGTGCTGTACGGAGCGGAGATTTGGGGTGAAAGGGCGGGTGACTCGAGAGTTGTTAAACAACTCAGGGCGATTGAGAGGCCCTATCTCAGGGCCATCACGAAGGCATACAGGACCGCGCCGACCGCGGCCTTGGCCGTGCTAGCGGGGTGTGTGCCTCTGGAGGTCCGGGTTAGGGCCAAGTATGAAAGTGTGAGAGAATGGGGAGCGCATGTGAGAAGGGTGGAAGCGGGGGAGAGACCTCACCCGGCCGTGAGNGAAATTTTTAGGAACAGATATGTGGAAATTAGGAATGAGTATAAAAAGGTATCAAGGAGGCAAAATTTAATAATTTGGACAGGGAATTAGAAAGCATGGGGGATAAGGTGTGGGAGATTTGTAAGAGATGGATTAAGGGGGGCAGAAAAGGGGTAGAGAGCAATATGAGACGGGAGGACGGGACTTATACGGGGTCCATGGAGGAGACGCAGGCGGAACTGGTCAGGAAATATTTTCCAATAGATAGCGAGGAGGGGGAGAGCGAGGGGCACAGAGAAATGAGGAGGGAGTATTTGGAAGATCGGGAGGGAGGAGGATTTCGCTGTCACCAGGTGTGAATTGGAGGGAGCGATCGATGGAATGAGTGTTAAGAAAGGGCCGGGTTTGGATGGGATACCGAATGAATGTATGAAGTATGTAAGTAAAGCTTTGGGTGACTCGTGGACGGTGATAGTGGAGAAGTGTATGAGAGAGGGGGTCTTCCCCAGAGTGTGGAAGAGAGCGGAAGTTGTCTGGCTGCCGAAGAGTGGGGGAAGTGTGAGACCAATCTCGTTGCTGCCGGCGGTCGGGAAAGTTCTCGATCGTCTGGTGGCTGCGAGAATCTCGCACTTCATGGAAAGAACGGATAGTTTCGACAGCGGACAGCACGGCTTTAGGAGTGGAAGAGACACGATGCAGGCCATCGGGGAGTTGTTGCGAATCATCCGGGTGAATAGAGAGAGCGGTCTGCACTCGATGGTTGTCGCCCTCGATCTCAGAAACGCGTTCGGGTCGGCATGGGCGCCAGCTGTGATCGGGGTGATGAGGGCAAAGGGTTTGAATGAGGATTTGGTGAGAATGGTGAGAAGCTTTATGAGGGAGAGAAAGGTTTGCGTGGATGGGAGAGAGTGGGACACCGAGGTCGGCTGCCCGCAAGGCTCCAGCTTAGGCCCGGTGTTGTGGCTGTTAGTGATGGAAGGATGGTTTAGGAAGATGGGAGAAGCGAGGGAGAGAGGTGTGCATGTGCAGGCTTACGCGGACGATCAGATAGTCGTGATATCTGGTCGCTCGGTCAGGAGCCTGGAGAATGAGTGGAGGAGAGTATGGGAGGAGTGTAAGGAGTGGGCGGAAGAGAACAAGCTGGGATATAACGTGGCCAAAACAGAGGTCATGTTTATCCCGGCTCGTGGCGAAATCAGGGAACCGGTGGTTAGGATGGATGATGTGCGAGTGGGCGTGAGTGCAAGTATCAAATACTTGGGTGTGAGAGTGGACCGAAAGAGGATCTGGCTGGACCATGTTAAAATGATTAGAGCGCGAGTTCAGGATTTCGGGGGCAAATTTTTTGCTCTCGGGAGGAGAAAGTGGGGCAACAGCAGGAGAGTGCTGAAAGCTATCTATGAGCGGATGATCTGCCCGATGGTGCTGTACGGAGCGGAGATTTGGGGTGAAAGGGCGGGTGACTCGAGAGTTGTAAAACAACTCAGGGCGATTGAGAGGCCCTATCTCAGGGCCATCACGAAGGCATACAGGACCGCGCCGACCGCGGCCTTGGCCGTGCTAGCGGGGTGTGTGCCTCTGGAGGTCCGGGTTAGGGCCAAGTATGAAAGTGTGAGAGAATGGGGAGCGCATGTGAGAAGGGTGGAAGCGGGGGAGAGACCTCACCCGGCCGTGAGAGGATGGATTTGGAGTGAAGAGGAAGTGGATGGAGACGGCGTGAATGTGTGGGTGGATGCGTCTGCGAAAGAGAATGGATTGAAAGTGTATGCGTGGATGGTGGCGGTCGAAGGGCGTTTGGAAAAAGGGGGTTCGAAAGTTGTGGGCGAAATTAATAGTAACGAGTTGGAAGGATGGGCGGTTTTGCGGGGTATTGAACAGGGGCTGCGCAGGATAGGGGAAAGGAGGTGTGTGAGGGTTTTCACGGATTCCAGACAGACTTGCGAACAGACGACTAAATTTGGAAATAGGTGGTGGGTGATTAACGAAATTCAAAGACATATCGCGAACGGACGGACGGACGGACGGAATCAAAATTACAGTGGCGTGGAGAAGCAGACGGACGGACGGAATAAGGACGGTGGACAGGGAGTGCAGACGGATAGGGAGGGAGCAGGAAGGAGGGGAGGAAAGAGTGGAAGGTGTGAGCAAGGGATTTTTGAATAAGTGGAAGAGCGAAAGAGAGATGAGAGCGTGGCAGGATGTCTGGAACGAGGGGAATACGGGTAGGTGGTTGCATGAGTTGTGGGAGAATGTGAATAGGAGCGGATGTGAGGCTAGTGCGGCGCTGACTCAGGTGGCTACCGGACATGGAAATTTCCGGGCCTACCTGGGTCGGTTTCGCCTAGAACCGGGAGTGGATGAAGGATGTGAATGCGGTGAGGGAATAGAGGATGTGAGGCATGTGGTCCTCCGCTGCGGGCTGCAGAGTAGGAGACAGGCGAGGGAGAACATAGAGAGGGAACTCGGCCATTACCCCCCTAGGTTGGGGGAGATTACGGGGCAAAATTGGGGACTTGTTTTGGACTGGGCAAATGATTTAGTGGGGGATTAATCAAAATTCTCAGTGAACTTTAAAAGACGATCTTAGATTGCTTAGCTATAAGGATTAGGTTAGGTTGTTGTTGTAGATTTAGGTATTGTGTAATTAAAATTGTATTAGGTTAAGTTGAGAACCCCGCTAATTTTTGGTGAAGTGGAGTTGGGATGGCGTTCTCCTTGTCGGTGTTTTCGCCTGATGGTGGGTAACGTCGGACGTGAGATGGCCTCATACCGCAAGGTGGGCAGGTCGGGTCTCGGCCCATCCAATCGTGTCCCTACCCACTCAGTCTGGTAGGAGTAGTCATACTGAGTAGACGTGTTGTTCAGAGCAACGAAAAGTTAGGTTAAGTTTGAAGAAGTGAGGTTAAGAAAGTGAAATTAACTAGTGTTGGCCCCCATAATTGGGTATTCTGCCCCAAAAAGTAGTGGGGATAAAGTAGTGTGGAAAGGAGTGGTGGAAAAGAATCCTGAAAAAGAGTGGTGGAAAAGAGTGGTGGAAAAGAGTGGTGGAAAAGAGTGGGGGAAAGAGTGGGGAAAACTGGAAACTGGCCGTTGACTCTGAGCAGCGGCCTTTTTTATCAAAAATTTTTGAACAAAGAAATTCGACTAAGTTTCGAAAGGAACAGGTGTGTTGAAGATCGGCCGTTGCTCGGAGAGCTGCGGCCTTTTTTATCAAAAAACTTAGAACAAGGATATTCGACAAGGTTTCGATTAGTAAAGAAAGAGTGAGAGGAATTGTTGAACTGGTAGGTCAGTCTAAAGATTATTGAACTAGTAGGTCAGTCAAAGACGAAAGTGTAAGAAAAGTGAGCGAACGGAACAAAGACTAGTGGTGGTGAATAACAGAGAAAAGACTAAAACAAGGTGATGGATAATAATAAGAAAATGGAGAGCATAAAAGAGATAGAAGAATCGGAAGTGATTCAGAGAGAAAACGAAGTAGCAGAACTTGTAGTCGGAAGGTTTTGGGAGAGGAATAGAGAGAATGAAGGAAACGAGTATTTGGAAAATTTAGAAGATGAGGAGGAAGAAAATAATAGCAAAGGCGAGAAAGAAAAACCAACGAAGGACACTGTTGGAAAAGAAAAAGAAGAAAAGAAGAAGAAGTCAAAGCAGAGAGAAGAGGAAATCATGAAAGAAGAAGCTATGTATAGAAGGATGAGGCAAGATAAAAAGAAAGAAACAACGGAAAAGAGAGAAAGGGAATTACGCGAGGAGGAAGAAGATGAAGTTAGATCTAGAAAGAAAGAAGAAAAAAAGTTAGAAAAAATCCGCGAGAAAGATTCTATAAGAACAAATATGGAAGAGATTAAATACCATGTAGAACAAATAATGTCGGCGGCGAGTAAGGAGTCTGGTAGTAAATTGGTTTTTAACAGAGGAGGCCAAGCGGCGGTAAAGGAGGCGCTGCTAGGAATAGAAGGAACATGCATAGGTTTTCTAGTAAAACAGCTGGAATTGAAAGAAGAGATCAGGCGAGTAGAAAATAAATATAAAAAACTGGAAGAAGAATATATGGTAAATAAGATGGAAAACGAAGAAGTAAAGAAGCGCATGATAGAAGAAAATAGGACCTTGAGCAATGAATGCAAGAAATTGGAAGAAGAGTTTGATGCAGTTAGAAGAACAATATGGGACAAGCAGATAATGTCAGGAGCAGTTCAACGCGTAAAGGCCACAGAAACGGATCTAGAATTAAGGGAGAACGATAATAAAAGTAGAAATGTTGATATTAACAGGACGCAAAAGCTGGATGGTCAGGCAGAGGGCAGAGGTGGAAGGATTGAGGCAGAGAAGGAAAGGGTAAGTGAAATAGAGATTGAAAGGAACAGAGAGAATGGAAGTATATTTGTTTTGAATGACGATGATGGAAGTGATAATTCAGATAAGGGAAGTGAGAATGAGGAAGTTTCATATGCTCGGGTGATAAGAGGGCGAGGTAGAGGGAGAGGAAGAGGAAGAGGTAGAGGAAGAGGAAGAGAAATGAGAGGAGTAGAGAGTGTGAGAGAAAGAATTGAGTGAGAGGAGTATGATGCAAGATAGAGATATGATACAGGAGGGAGAGGGTTGGGTCACCCCCCCCCAGAATTGTGGAGTTAATTGTATCAAAGGAGAATGAGCCGGATGGGAGAAGCTTGGCTGATTATTTGGGTAAGACATTGAGTGTTGAGGATATTGATGGCCCGCCTAGAGCGGTAAGGGTTATAAGGGAAGGAAGAGTTAGAATAGTGGCAAAGAATGATGAACAAGGAAAGAAAATAGTGGAACAAATTAGTAAAATGGAGAGGGTTGACGTGAGACAGGCGAGGGTGCAAGAACCCATGATTAGGATATCGGGAGTGCCGATGGCTATGGATGAAAGGGAATTATTAGAATCGATTGAGAGAGAGAACGAAGGAATACTTGGAGTGAGAATGAAGGTTATAAGAAAATATAGGTGTCAAAATCCTTGGAAAAACAACTGGATAATAAGGATATCGGGGCCAGCGTTTAAAGTACTGATTAGAAAGGGAAGGGTGAATGCGATGGCCGAGAGTTTTTATGTAGAAGAATACTCAGACGTGATGATGTGTTTTAAATGCGCGAGGTATGGTCACATGTCGTCAGTATGTAAAAACCCGCCGTCATGTTATCAATGTGGCGGTGATCATAAGGCTACAAGGTGTGGGGAAAGTAGGAGTGAATGTGTGAATTGTAAAAGACATTTTAAAAAAATAGAGAACCATAGCGCTAGGGATACGGGGTGTCCGGTGTTGAAATTAAATATAGAGAGGAATAGGAAATATGTAAACTACAATGGTACAATTTAATTGTTTACAATTCAATATGGGAAGGGGGAGAGAAAGTGGTATATTGTTGAATAGGAAAATTAAGGAGGAAAGACCGGATCTGGTAATGCTGCAGGAGCCGTATAGTAAATATGCGGCTCCGCAGGGATATATGAGATATGGGAGAAGAGAGGACAAGGTCCTCACATTACGTAAAACTAGATGGGTGAATGTGGTAGCTATAAAGGAAATGAGCAGTGAGAATGTAATAGTGGTTAGAATGGGGGGAGTGAATGACGGTTTATGGGTTATTAATATATATAATGAGCCCGGGGGTCACACGAGAGATGAAAGTAAATTTGTCTTATTTGTTGAGACTTGGAATGTAAGTGAAGGAAAGATAATTATGGCAGGAGACTTGAATGCAAGGAATGCAGCATGGGGAGGGGAAGTTAACAACAGAAGAGGACTATACCTCGAGGACTGGGCTGTGAGAAACGGTTTTAAAATGGAAAATGAACCAGAGGATCCGCCCAGTTTCTGGTCTACGAGGGGTAGGAGCTGGGTTGATATGGTTATATCTAAAAATGTAAACATTAGAGAAAGAAAGGTTGAAGACCGCGATGAGAGCTTGAGCGACCATAGGTATGTAGAATACAAGATAGATATGGAAGAAATTGGAAGGAGAGTGAGGAAGGGTTACGAGATAGGAGAAGGAAACAAGGAGGAATATATAAATAGACTTAGGGTATTGGTTAGAGAGAGACAGGTAGTGCATCAGGAGACGATCGAAGAGAGGGCGACGTGGTTACAAACAACATGCGAAAGATTATGTAAGAAGATACTGAGAAAGAAAAGAAGGAGGATTGCTAGGGAGCAAGAGTGGTGGACCGATGATCTGGAAAGGAGGAGGAGAACTGTTAGAAGAGCGAGGGGAAACTTCCAAGAAGCAAGGGGGGAAAATAGGGAAGTATTGAAGGAATTATATAAAAGGGAAAGGATTATTTACAAGAAAGAAATAAAACAGGCCAAAGAGAGGAAGATGGAGGAGGAGCTGGATGATCTGGCTCATGATCCATGGGGCATACTTAATAAATGGGTAAAAGGAGACAAGATCTGCCTTGGGACTTATAATATCGAAAAGGATGATGGTACCTTCACGAAGAGCAGAGAAGAAACGACCGCTCACTTAGTGAGAAAATACTTTCCTATAGACCGAGTAGGGGAGGATACGGAGGAACAAAAAGTGATAAGAAGAAGGTTTAATGATCTGATAGAAGAAGAAGAAGTGGAACGAGAAGATAGAATGGAGAAAATAACAAGAACGGAATTAAAAGGGGTGACGGCAGCAATGAAAAAGAGGAAGGCAACTAGTGAGGATGGGGTGCCGAATGAATGTATGGTATGGGTGGAAGAGTCAATTGGTGAATGGTGGTGTGAGTTGTTGAATGAGTGTATGGATGAAGGTGTGTTTCATAAGGTATGGAAGAGAGCGAATGTGATCTGGGTTCCGAAGGGAAGCGGTGGGGTGAGGCCGATATCTCTGCTGCCGGCCCTTGGCAAGGTTCTTGATCGGCTGGTGGCGGGGAGGTTGGCCCACTTCATGGAGGTGGAAGGTAAATTTGATGAAAAACAGTATGGGTTCAGGAGTGGGACACCACGGCCGCGGTGAAAACAATTGTGGAGTGTATAAATGGGAACAGGGAGAGAGGGCACCACTCCCTGGTGGTTGCTCTTGATCTCACCAATGCGTTTGGGTGTGCATGGGGACCGGCCGTGGTTGAAAGCATGAGAAAGAGTGAATGTGTGAAGGGTGCAAGAAGGATGGTTGCGAGCTTCCTGGAGGAAAGGGCGATTGTGATCGATGGAATGGAATGGCACATGGGGAAAGGTTGCCCTCAGGGTTCTAGCCTGGGGCCGGTACTTTGGTTATTAATTATGGAAGAGTGGTTTAGTGTTATGAATGGGATAGAACAGGAGGGAATAAAGGTACAGGCGTATGCTGACGACCAAATCGTGGTAGTGTCAGGTACGTCTGTAAGGAGAGTAGAAAGAAAGTGGCAGGAGGTCTGGGACCGTTGCAAAACATGGGCGTCGAGTGTGAAACTTGAATATAACGTAAATAAGACAGAGGCGATTTTTGTAAGTTCAAGATGTAGAATTAGAGACCCGGTGATTAGAATGCAAGACTACAGAGTAACAATTAATGAAAAGATGAAATACTTAGGTATTATACTTGACAGGAAGTTAAACTGGATAGATCACTCAAAAGAAGTCTGAAAGAAAATAGGGAATTTAGGTGGAAAATACATGGCAATAGGAAGAAAAAAGTGGGGTAAAAAGCAAGAAGTGTTGAAGTTATTGTATGAGAGATCGATTTGCCCCGTAATGTTGTACGGGGCTGAGATCTGGGGTGTCAGATCATCGGATACCAGAATAGCAAGACAAATTAGGGCGGCGGAAAGACCGTTTCTAAAAGCCATAACTACGGCGTACGCGACGGTTTCTACAGCAGCGCTGTGTGTCATTGCGGGATGTCCGCCGATGACAATAAGGATTAGAGCTATATACGAGGGAAGTATGATTTGGAGAGCAAGGCTGAATGAGGAAAGAGTGGTGTTTAGTGACAGGCCGCATCCTGCATTCAGAGGATGGGAGATGGAATATGTGGAGGAGGAGGGAGAGTTAGTAGAAATATGGACGGATGGAGTAAGTAAAGATGATAATAGGAAAGGGTACGGCTGTGTGAGTTTGAGAGAGGGTAATTGGATAGGTAGAGTTAAGGTGGTTGAAGGTAATGTTGGAATTAGTGAATTAGAAGAATTAGGTGTGTTAGAGGCAGTGAGATGGGCAAGAGATTTGTTAGTCAGAGGTGGAACAGCGGTTATTTATACTGACTCGAGGGAAACGTCAGAAATGATAAAAAGGTTTCTTCCGAAGAGGAAGTTTATAAATAGGTTGCAACGGGAGCTAGTTGAAAATCTGATGGATGGAATCAAAACTATAGTAAAATGGGAAAAGAGAGGGAGTGTGGGTAATAGGAAGGCGGAAGAGTGGATAAATGAGGAGATAGGTCGTAGAATGGAAGTGGAAGAGTGGAATGTTACAAAGAAAAAGAGTATGAGGGAATGGATGGAGAGGGAAATGATTAGATTGTGGCAGGAGGAGTGGGAAAATGGGTTGACTGGAAGATGGACGCATGAGTTAATTCCGATGGTTGGTCGCGAGGGGATCCCGACTGGATATAAACTCACCCAATTTCTGACAGGACATGGGAACTTCGCGACCAGCCTCAGAAGGTTTGCGTTGAGAGAAGGGGATGACGGGTGTGAATGTGGACAAGGTGAAGAGAGCGCTCGCCACCTAATACTGCAGTGTGAGAGCGAAAGATGTGTCAGGGAAAGAACGAGTTTTATCGAGAAGTATGGGGCTTGTCCGCCTCTGCCTCTGGCGTTGTCAAAAGAGATGACAAAAGACCTGAAAGCTTGGGCGGACGCAATAGTCCCGGAATTGGATAGAGGGGAATAGAAATAGTAATGTTGTAAATAGATTAATAAAACAATGAACAATATAAATAGAGTAAGGTAGATTAAGGTTGTTGTTTAGGTTAGGAAAAGATAATTAAGAGAGATAGTTGTAAATAAAGATGAGTTCCCGCTAATTTTTGGAGTGAGGAGATGGGATGGGTTCCCTTGGGGGTGGTTTTGCTGGGTAGGTGGTGATTGTGGAAGATGAAGACCCAATGCCGAAAGGTTGGAGGGTCGGGCTCGAGCCCATAAGCTCATGTCCCTACCCACTCCGTGATGTTGGGTCCCGTGGACCCCATGCCGGGGGACCCAGCAGGGGACACCTGTAACCCCGACACGGCGCGTCCCCGGGTGGCGGATTGGGGAATGCCCTCACCACTAGTTGGCGGGTAGGCGTGAAGTAATATAGCGCCCGTGGACCAACAGGATTGCACCCTCCATGGCCTAGGTCATGGAGGATAAGAAGAGAGTGAAGTATGAAATAAAGGCGAGGAAAATAATAGAAGAGAAGAGGAATATAATAAGGGAAAAAAGAAAACGAAGTTGACGAATTAAAACATGTGGAACAGAATAAGAGGACAGAAGAATAGGTGAAGGGGTGAAATGTGGAAAATAGTGAGAAATAAAGAGAGGTGAATGTAATAAGATAACGAGTAGAAGAAGATAAAAGTTAATAAGAGTGAAGTGATAAAATGAAGATGTTGAATTGAATAAAGTGGATTAAATC